CCAACAACGGGCTGCTGACTAAGAAATAATCCAGACGAGAGAAAGAGTGATGGACATGTGAGAAGAAATTATATTCTTTGTCATTAGGGTGAAGACATTGCCATGCATCGCAAAGTCCGTAATCACTCATGTACTGTTTAACTATATTAATTGATTGCCAACTCCGCTGAGTCCTTGTTGTGGTCAGCCTGTCTAATTCTTCATTTAGACCAAAGTTGAGATCGCCCCCAAGAAGAAGTGAGCAATCCAAGTGTTTTGACAGTGCTGAAAAAAAGAATGGAAGAATGGGGGGTCATCAATCTTTGGGGCATATATACGGACAATACATATCTTTTAGTTATGTATTGATATTTTCATTATTATAAATCTACACTCTGGATCTGTAACTGTGTCTAATACTGTAAAGTTAACATTTTTGTAACTGTTAATTAAGATTGCTACTCCCCTTTGCCTAGAATTATAGCAGGCAGAAAACAAATTAGGAAACTCAGGTGATTTAAGATCATTTGCAGCTGTGGCAAATTTAAGAATCTGTTATAATAAGACAGCGTTGGCCTGTAGTCTTTTAAGCTGATACATTTTTTTTTACTTTTTCTCTCTGGTGCCAGCTCCATGGACATTCCATGTTATAAACCTTACTTTACCCATAGTTGTACATGTCTTGCTAAAGTTGGACAGCGCATGTCACCACAGAAACGGATAGACCCCAGTGAAATCATAGTTAGTGCTTTGGGTTGCCTGATATGAAATCCAGAAGCAGAGACATAGCAGACAAAGAGACAGAAATTTAAGAAGGTGCTGGGGGTAAGAGAGGGTGAGAGACATAAGGTTATTTTAAGAAATATTTGGTTGTGTGTGAGTGTGCATGTTTGTGTGTGACAGAAAGAAAAAGAGTGACAGAGAGCTGAGGTAAATGAGAGGTAGAGAGAAGACAAAAATGAGCAGATACCCAAAAGCCCAGCCTTGGCCCCGCCCACATCAAACAGTGTAAACATCATGCTGAGCTGTGCTTTACATTAGATTACATTTGCAAGTTATCAACCTCTTATCTAACCAGTGTTACATGTTTTAGATTAACCCGCTGTTGCTCCTAATAAAGCCACGGAGTGATCTCACGGTCCCTAAACAACTGACCATTGACATAAGGTTTGTCTACAGCCACTGTAGCTCTGGTGCCTTTTGGCAAGACCAAATGGGATGCCGGAGAAGACAAGGTTGTCCCACATGCCCCGAGCCTGTAAATCCAGGATGGTCTCCTTCATTAGTGGAGGTGCTTGCCGAGCACTCTAAACGGGTCTGTTTTGATGTTGGTGTGGCCATGGGTGGAGATTTTTGTGGCTTGACCATTACAATGTTATCAAAACATTCGTCCATGTAGCTCTCCAGGCTGTCCAAAGTTTCCTCGTCCAGTTTGTTTTATTGAGAAAATATGAGACAGTGGTTAGTATTTTACACATTTATGTGTTCAGCTTGAATTTATTGGCTTGTTTTATCTTAAATTTGGCGTGTTTGTATACCAGTATACCGCCATATTACTTATGCACAACTCTCACGAGATCTCAGCATCTTATCACCTCCTCCTTGTCTTTGTTGTTATGTTTTTAAATTCATTGTCAGAGATGCTTGAAGTTTCCCTCGGAGTGAAAGGTGAGGAGGGATAATACATGGTTCTTACAGAAGAAATTCAAAAGACCATTGTTGATTTTTTTTGGCAGGACAGATCTGGCTGAGAGCTTCTGCTCTATATCTGGCAGTGGTCAAGGGCTGCTACTCATTGGCCTTTCTACAAGAGTAACGGCTTTCAGGCCACAAACATCTCAAAGATTGCTCTACAGCTTCAACCTAGATTGTTGGCCATTGTGCTATGTGTTAATATGTGCTAAAACAAACATTGTTTCCTGCTTCAGCAGAAACTCTTGGATCTGACTAGAATAAAATCTTTTTATCAGTCATTTCCAAATGGCCAAATGCATCGAAGGTTCTCCTTTAAAACGAATAAGGATGCTACACATGAACTTAGGCTGGATGAATAACTTCTGATTGGAAGTGGTTTATTGCCATTCTTGGCGGGGTCTGGGAGTTTCAGCTTTAGACAGACAGAAGCCCCAGGGAGGAGATCTCATTTTTTTGTATTCCCAGTCTCTCTGAACTCTGTAGTGTTAGGTTTTCCATGGTTACAGAAACACAACCCCCTCTTAGACTGGTCCAAGTGTCATGTGGGGTGTTGGTCCACCAATTGCCTCTCCTCCTGCCTCCAGTCAGTGGTTTCTCTAAGCCCTCCTGACCTGGGTAATGAGGAGGATGATTTTCCAGATTTCTCACAAGTTCCCTCCGAGTACCATGACCTGAAACAGGTTTTTAGTAAGACCAAAGCCCTCTCTTTGCCTCCTCACAGACCATTCAATTGCGCCATAGACCTACTTCCAGGGGCCCCTCTACCTTCTAGTAGGCTATATAACATCTCGCAACCCGAACAACGAGCTATGGAAAAATATATTAACGAGTCTCTTGCGGCACGTATAATTCGCCACTCCTCTTCTCCTCTAGGACCTGGATTTTTCTTTGTAGGTAAGAGGGATGGGTCTCTCCGTCCTTGCATCGATTATAGGGGCTTAAACCAGATCACCGCTCTTGTCAATGACGTCTTCTGAACTTTTTTGTTTTTGTGTACCTTGACGACATTTTAATTTATTCAAGGGACATTCGGAAGCATAAGCGACATGCTCGCCAAGTCCTTAAACGACTTTTAGAAAACCGACTCTTTGTGAAAGCCAAAAAGTGTGAGTTTCACCAATCTTCAGTTACGTTTTTGGGTTTTGTTTTAGAGGGTGGACAGTTTCGGACCCAGCAAAGATCAGGGCAGTCCGGAATGGCCAGTACCAGATTCTCGCAAACAATTTCCTGGGGTTTGCAAACTTTTACAGAAGGTTTATAATAAACTACAGCCAGACAGCCACTCCCCTTACTGCTTTAACCTCCTCCAAGATTCACCTGGATTCAGGAAGTAAATATAGCATTCCTAGCCTTAAAGGAAAAGTTCTCTCAGGCTCCCATCCTGGTTCATCCTGCCCATTCCAAACAGTTCATTTTGGAGGTTGATACCTCTGACACATGAGCGGGGGAAGTTCTCTTTCAGAATTCTCAGACAGATGGAAAACTTCACCTTGTACATTTTTACAGACTCAGCAACACTGAACAAAACTATAGACAGAGAACTCTTAGCCATAAAGTTGGCCCTGGAGGAATGGCGTCACTGGCTCGAGGGCTCTGAACATCCTGTTCTGGTCTGGACTGATCATACGAACTTACCTACAGTCAGCCAGGCGGCTGAATTCTTGTCAGTCCCGTTGGTTCTTGTTTTTCTCTCATTTTGATCTGTCCATCTCCTACAGACCAGGTTCAAAGAACACTAAGTCTGACGCCCTGTCCCGACAGTTCTCCGCTGATGACTCGGAGAAGAAGCCAGTGCCTATTCTGCTCCCCAATTAGACTATTGGTTCACTGACATTGAAAATTTTAGATCTTGTCAATCGGGCCCAACGTGATGAACTCGATCCCAGAACTGGTGCATTCAACCGAACCTTTGTGCGCCCATCCCAGGGTCAGCAGAACCATCGCGTTAATCTCAAGAAGGTCTTGGTGGCCATCCTTGCATGAAGATGTTAAGGAATATATTCAAGCCCGCACTATATGCGCTACAAACAACGCCTGTAATCAACCGCCTTCTGGTCGACCCCACCCCCTTAGCATTCCTAGACGATCCTGGTCCCACATCGCCCTTGACTTTGTGACTGGCCTCCCTACTTCGCAAAGTATGTCCACCATTTTAACAATAATTGATCGTTTCTCTAAAGCCTGCCATCTCATTCCTTTAAGAAAGCTACCATCCACCCTCAAGAGCAGCTAAACTACTCACCAAGCATGTTTTCCCTCTGCATGGCATTCCCCAAGACATACTTCCAGACTGAGGACCCCAGTTCATCTCTCAGGTGTGGAAACAGTTTTGCTTAGCTCTCAGTGCAAAAGTGTCTTTAACTTCTGGCTACCATCCACAATCAAACGGACAGGCTGAGGGAATGATCCAGCAATTGGAGTCAACTCTCAGATGCCTCACATCCACCAACCCAACACATGGGTGCTCATTTATTCCATGGATTGAATATGCCCAAAACTCGCACAAATCCTCTGCCACCGGCGTCTCACCCTTCGAAGTTTCTATTAATTATCAACCACCCCTTTTTTCAGCCGACGAGAAAGAAATTGCAGTCACCTTAGTCTGTCATCACATCCGCCACCCCAAGAACATCTGGTAGTCGACCATTCAAGCTCCTCACCGCACTGCAGAACAGAATAAAAATTTGCTGATAAGAGGCACAGGCCCCCTCCTAAATATCACCCTGGTCAAAAAGTCTGGCTTTCCTCTCAAGACGTCCCCTCTCAAGTCCATGTCCAAGAAGCTTTTGCTCCATTTCCTTGGACCTGAGCTCCCAGACTCTACATCTCTCTTTCCCCCCTGGCGGTTCGGTCATCTCCTCCTGTAAGCATCACATACTACTCTGTATAATACTCATATCATCACTCTGGACTTACCTGTTCTCCCCTTCTCTGTACAGTTGGTGATCTCCGGCCATGGTTCCCTCGTCACTGTCTCCCCTGTGAAAAATAATTTCTCTTAAAATCTATGAGAGTCTCCTGAGTGTAATTCTACATGTGGGTCAGATCCGTACCTAGAATCATGACAATCCTCCTTTCTTATGTCAGCATGTACCAGTCTCTCTAGGCTGAGAGGGACTGGCTGTTTGAATCTAGGCCACCTCATGAAGACCTCTGCCTCCGCAGGCCACCTCATAAAAATTTCAGTCTCAAGGCTGTTGGACATATGATCTAACAGTTTCTTGCTCTATTTGATTAAGGAGATTTGTGTTTCTCTACCAGGATCCCTTAGAACATTTTTTGAACATTGTATTCATTGTATTCTGATCATACCATGTGCTACCAACTGCACGGTGGCAAAGTTGGTAGCACTGCAACAAGAAGTTCCTGGGTTCGACTCCCGGCCGGATGTCTTTCTGCATAGAGTTTGCATGTTCTCCCTGTGCATGTGTGGGTTCTCTCCAGGTACTCCAGCTTCCTCCCACAGTCCCTTAGGTATGAATGAGTGTGTGTGTGGTTGTTTGTCCTGTGTGTCTCTGTGTTGCCCTGTGATGGACTGGCGACCTGTCCTGGGCGTATCCCACTTTTCCATTTTCCAATGGATCTAACTGTTTGGGACACAGTTTTCCTTTCTCCTTCTTATTTATGATCCATGTTATTCTGCAAAGCTGAAATCTGTACATCTGTTGTTAAATTTGATTCCAGATTAACCATATGGAAAACAAGAAAATTTAAAATAGTGAGAGAAGGTTTGCAGGACGCTCTATTGATGCTCCTCAGCTGGGGTGGAGTTTCAGTTTTATGGGCTGTTGATGGTATGATTTGTTCCACCAAGAAAGACTATTTGTTTGTTTTCTTTAATCTTTTTTTATCCTTTACTATGAAGAGGAGAAGTCAGAGCTGGAATCCCTGAACAAAAACACGTTCCCCAATTCCAATCCGGCTGCAGACCACAGCTAACGGAGAGGCACGCACCTTAGCCAAAGGTCTTTAAACTCGCTGGCAGGTATAAGACTATTACTTCCAAGAATCCTTGGATCCAAAGTGACTATGATCAAAAAGCAACCACAAAGCTAAGTATGGTCTGCTGTATCAAATAGTCTAGCAGTCATATGAAAGGGGTTAAAAGACAAGCGTTGGCTTGACTATTCTTTCTGCTGCTACACTCAAAGCAACCTGTACCAGAAGGGCCCCGAAGAGACGTGGTCTCTAAGTGAAGCAGTTTGCTCCATGGCGTGGAGACGAAGGCATTGGAACTGCAGCTCTGCACGCTTCCAGTGTGCCAACCCAGCGTAAGCTACCCACACAGCGGCTACTGAGCCTCCACAACGTTCTTTGTTAATGTCCACCATGTGAATGGACCTGACAACTTTGCTCCTCAACTCGTCTCCCTTGGACATCCTTTCTTCAGAATGGTTCACATAAGAGGTGGTGGTTGGGCAGAGGAAATTAGTGTAGGATAAAATAATCTGAATACTGTTTATTTAATGACGTTGCAGGCTGTGTGTCCAGCTAATGTGAACAGATATTTCAGCCTGAGGCAAGCCATTTGTTCTGTGTTGTGTTTTAAGGTTAAAACAAACTGTCTTTAAAGGGTGGTTTTAAACAGATCGGCCATAGCGCGCCACCAGCACTCATATATTATATTACATGGTATTTTAAGGTATACGTTTGACTTTAAAGACAAGCTATAAGTTTCCTTTTTGTTAGCCACAACCGCTAACGGCTTATGCTAGTCTAGTCAAAGATTTACACACAACTCGTCGCCATTTTAGTAGTCCATCACTCCAGGTGATGGCTAGGTAAGAATCAACTGTCCAGAAAGATTGGTAGTTTCCAATGTAGGAAATAATATTTCTCTAAATAGTATTTTACTAAATGTGATAGCTAATTAAACACCATTAGGAATAATTTATTCAAAAAGGATGTTTATTCCCATTCTAGATAATATTTCCTAATTATTATTTTACTAAATAAGGACAGCTAATTAAACAACATTGAGAATTAATTACCCAGAAGTTTGTTTTTATTCAGCAAATCATTCTTTAAAATATAATTTTCTTAAAATAAAGTTTTATCTGATCTTGCAGTGTGAATGGTGGTTTGAATGTATACCAATGTTTAGTTCTAAGACTAATCTAACCTCATTTCCAGGTTCCTCGAGATAATCTTTGGTTCTCAAACATAAATAACATTGAATGGTAATGCATCATTTCATTGGTGATGGCTATTAATCATTTTTCCTGCATTTGTGTATAGTTCATCAATTTCTTTATAAATTAATCTTGCTTGGTAGTTTAGTTGAATTGTTCTAGCCAAGTAAAGAGTTTGTTGATTAAAATATGTTTGACTTTGATTTGGATTATTTTTGTTAATAAATTCTTGTATTTTAAAAAGTTGTGTGAATTTATGTGTGTGCAGAGGTTTGCTGTTCAGTAATGTCAGAGCTCGGCTCACCCTTTTCTCTATTGTCCTAATGCCATGGCCTTATTGTGCTGGTATTCACTGGACAACATGCTTGAAGAAAAAAAGTCATGCTATTAACTTTATCAATGAATATTCACTGAATTATGCTCTGGAACAATAATGGTTATTTAAAATACTGCCAGAAAAACTACTTATTATCGATTCTGGTGAACGTATTACTTTGGTTGGGAATTTCAGCTGGTTTTTATACTTTTAAAGAACCAGATCTCACGTGATGACAAAAATGGACTTAATGAGTAGAGAACAATAATCGTTTGAAAAGATCTGAGTTGGAGCAGTTGCTGATAGATGTAATGCATCCAGGTTAGATAGAATTTATCTCTTAAAAAGAATTTCTGTTTTCCAGCAGATATAGAAATCATTCCCATACAATGTAGTAATTAACAACACGAGTAATAAGAGATAAATTCCATCTACCTTTAGAGAAAACTTTATTTTAACCCTAACCCTATTTTTTTGAAAATAAGAAAGCAAGGAAAGCTCAAATCCAAGGTGTCTCAGCGATACACTTATAGATCTACTGATAACACCAGGAGGGTTATTCAGACACTGGAAAAGGAAACAACACATTTGGAGAGAGTTTCCATTTGTCAGAATAATCAGCAGGGTTTATGGTATCTTGGAATTTGACCACGCTTTACCAAGCTCAAGGACAGAGCTGCACCAACAGTGTTCTTTTTAACTTGATCCCCAGGACTAGCTGCAGATGTTTTTACACACTACTTTTTGGTAAAGAAGCTTTTGAATGTCTTTGGGGATTATTTTGCTAGAAGGACACTTCCAGCATCTTATCTACAGGGAGTACTTTCTTTGCTACATAAAAAGAGGGATCTAGGCCTGAAAACAAAAGTGCAGACAAAACACAAACACACACTGAACCCAAAACCCCGACATTAATGTACTGGAGGCCATTGACTCTTTTATGGAAAGATTCTTTCAAAGGTTTTATCTAACAGACTTAAACATTTATTCGACCTTTTGGTTCCAGCTGATCAGTGAAATTGTGTTCCAGAAAGATCTATGTTAGTTTATTAGTTTATTACTGACTTTTTATCAGTTTATTTATTCTGAGAGATGTACAGGGGTTGGACAATGAAACTGAAACACCTGTCATTTTAGTTGTGCTAGATGAGCACGTCACTGCCATGGACTACCGAACCATTCTTGAGGACCATGTGCATCCAATGTTTCAAACATTGTATCCAGAAGGTGGTGCCATGTATCAGGATGACAATGCACCAATACACACAGCAAGACTGGTGAAAGATTGGTTTGATGAACATGAAAGTGAAGTTGAACATCTCCCATGGCCTGCACAGTCACCAGATCTAANGGAGGAGCGAGTCAGGAAACGTTTTCCTCCACCAGTATCACGTAGTGACCTGGCCACTATCCTGCAAGAAGAATGGCTTAAAATCCCTCTGACCACTGTGCAGGACTTGTATATGCCATTCCCAAGAGGAATTGATGCTGTATTGGCCGCAAAAGCAAGCCGTACACCATACTAATAAATTATTGTGGTCTAAAACCAGGTGTTTCAGTTTCATTGTCCAAGCCCTGTATTTGATGTGAGATATAATACTTAAATGTGGGGATTGCCTCCATTGATCACGAGAAGGAATTTGATGTTGTAGATCATAATTAGCTTTTTTTTCACCTTTGCCAGCATTCGGTGTGGAAATGGGGAAGAGATTATTAATAACGCAATGAGGAGAACAGGACATGGAGCACAGGTAGTGTAATGGGAGAAACCAGCAAAGAACAATGAAAACCAGTGAGCTTACATACTGAGGAATGAGTAGAGAATGACAATGGATCCCCATGAGATAATGAGGGAAATGTTGTCCAAACACCCAAGGACCATAACACTTCTTAAAAGTTAACTGGGACAGAAGTGAGGGTTTCTTGTGTTAGGATTATGATTATTGATTAATTAATATTCATCAAGAATTATAATAAAAAATCATAATTTGGAAAATTAATTTCTTAACCAAAAATCCTCATTTATGAATCAAAACCAGAGATGTTTTCTGGTGTTGTAATTATGGCTCAACACCTTTGATAATTACAACCATTAAATACTCAGTAATAATTGATAACTATTACTAGATGTCACTGTTTAATCAACCGTTTCTGCCGAAACGTGGGGAACTTTGACCTTATTTTGACTGACAAATCACTCTTGCACAAAATAAACACAAATGCTTTCTCTTTATCTACGTGAATATTTATTAAATCAACAGCCTGATACACCTCGCTATTCTGATTCAATAATCTTCACCTAATCAAACATGCAAAGTTCTACACAGAAGGGTAAAATATCTAACTAAACAGATAAATCAAACCAGCAGTTATGGCAAACAAATGATAATGTGATGCGGAGCGGAGTTTTGGGAAGCGGCCCGCCAGAGAGTGTAGCTCAGCGGGACACCGGCGTTCATAAAACCCCCAAGCAAAGTCGTAAACTCAGCGCACACAAAGGATCATAAACCTTTTTGGCAAACCAGTAAAACATGAATGGAAACAAAGGAAACGGTCGAATTTCACCATGAGGTTATAACAGTCCAACTTTAAAAGCTGCCCTGAGCTTGCTCTCAGGTGTTACAACAACACAGCGAAACACACACAGCTTGAAAAGCACAGCGGCTTTCAGATGTCCACAGCACATCAAAGTTTCAATAAGATGTTGCATGCACATACAATTCAGAACACATTAGGCTATAAGTGGCAATTCTACATCGCACTAAAACCTCCTCTACCCTGCCCAAGCTATTCCTAATAAAGAAATAAAAATAAAAGGGTGGATTTTACTTGTCGTCTCCTCTGAGCAGAGGGAGGGTGAGGTGAAGAGTTCCACGCGTCTGCGGATACTCAGCAAAGCAGTCCGTTTTCTTCCTTGGTGGCCTCCGTGGCAGAAAGGTAGAAATATTATGAC